TTAGTAACACCTGGATGTTCTGGTTGTTGCTAAGCTGTGCTTGCCCTGAGTCAAGGACTCTTCAGTGTTTCATTCTTTACCTATGAGAAGCTGTAGCAGAAGCATGGCCAGGACAGGTGACCCAAACTGGTACGTTCCATAGGATATCCATTGTTAGCATGAAAACCTGGATTTTCATTTTTTATCATCTTTCCTATGAAAACCTGGATGGGTGTTGGCCAGCACACTGGTTTCATCTGGGGTAGAGTTCATTTTCTTCACAGTGGCTGCTGTGGAACTATGTTTTGGATTTGTGCTGAACACAAAGTTGATAATACAGAGATGTTTTTGTTATTGCTGAGCAGAGCTTGCACAGAGCCAAGGCCTCTTCTGCTATCATAGGGCCACAGTGGTGAGGAAATTGGGGGTGTCTGGGAGGCTGGGAGGTGACACAGCCAGCATGGGTGACCCAAACTGGCCTGAGGGAAATTCCAAACCATATGGATATAAAGTGGGGGGAAGGAAGGACAAGGGAGGATTTTTGGAGTGATGGTGTTTGTCTTCCTAAGTCCCTGTTACATGTGATGGGGCCCTGCTCTCCTGGAGATGGCTGAACACCTGCCTGCCCCTGGGAAGCAGTGACTTAATTCCTTGTTTTCCTTTGCTCATGTGTGTGGCTTTTGTTTTCCCTATTAAATTGTCTTTATCTCAACCCATGAGTTTTCTGGCTTTTACCCTTCTGATTCTGTCCCTGACCCCACAGGTGGGAGAGGGAGTGAGCAGCTGCCTGGGGCTTGGCTGCTGCCTGGGGTTAAACCACGACTGCCAGAAGGAGCCAAGCCCTGGGGATGGGCTGGGTACTGCTGAGCAAGTGGTGAGCAGCTGTATTGGGCATCACTTGTTTTACTGGGAAGTTATTTTCTTTCTCTTTCTTCCCTTTTAATCACTATCATTAGTATCATCATCATTATTATCATTGCTACTATAAACATTAATACAATTATATTTTACTTTGTTTCACTTATTAAACTCTTCTTATACCAGCCCATGAGTTTAACTTTTTTTATCTGGTTCTTCTCCCTGTCCCACTGGGGGAGCAAGGGAGTGAGCAGCTGTGTGGTATTTACCTGCTGGCAGAGTCTAAACCCTGGCAGTCCTTTGGCCAACACGGCTGTAACAAAATTGATTCTGCTTTGTCTTTTTCTAGTTAAACTGAAAACGCTGGATCAGAGTCTCTCAAGATGTATATTGGAGCAGAATCTGCTCCAATAATGCTTTCAGCAGTGCCTTTTTTATCCATCTGTTTCATAAATGGTGGGCTCTGACTTTGGGTAAATTTGAATGTAAATACGCATTGACCATGCTTACATGTCAGGATCAGCATGTTGGCAAACCAGATGTTACAAACGGTATGAGACAGCCTTATTCCAGCAAACCTGCAGCCCTGTTTGACTGGGCATCCTCATCTCCACAATCCCTGACTTTTGTAATCTGAGCAGGTTTGTAAATACACAAAATGTTAGAGTTGGAGAAGCACTTTCAGATAGCTTGTCTCAAAGTATGTAGTGTAGTTTAAATTATGAGATTGAATCCTTCATCACTCAAAAATACAGAGGCCCTTTCTTTCTGGAGTAAAATATGATAAATAAAGACAAAGAAATTCTGGTGAATAAATTGACCTTCAAAGCTGGCAGGCTTGGTAAATTGCACCTGGAAGGCTGAAGAGATAACTTGTCCATCATTGCTTAGGAAGATCAGGGCTTGGTAGCTGATGCTATTCTGAATACTAAAATACACTCTCTATTAATGCACAGGCTGTAAGTTTTAGTTGTTTATTTATTTATTCTTGAGTTAGGGATGTTGAGTACTATCTTCCCTGCACCATGGAACACAGAGAGCATGAAATTTTGTCAAGTAGTAAATATGTTTTTTCTTCTTCTTGGCAGTCATTTTTGTATTTTGAGATAAACGTAACAAAAGCTGGGGTTGGGCAGTCTAGAAGAAAAAGTTTGTCACAAAATCCTGAAGAAACAGATTTTCCTTCAAATATACAAGACCAGAATACTGTAGACTTTTATTCTCATTACATCTATATCTGGCACAAGACTTGGCATAGCATTTGGCAAGATTAAAACTATTACAGAGTTGCCAGCAAAGGATGATTTTAGGATTAGTTTATGTCAGGAAAATTAAAAGGAAGGCCAGATCAAAGGTAATGTTTTAAATACATTATTTTATTTTAATCAATTTGGGCCTATTCTTTGACTGAGCTAAGAAACAGAAATACAATAAAACATACTATGTTTTTCACCTGTCTAGGTAGTTCATATGCAGTTAATGGCAAGGGTGTCTTTTAGTAGGTATGTTTAAGGTACAGGTAATTTTCTTTGGTTTACTGGGAGTATTTTTGTATGAGATCTAGCCTTCAGAGCAGGGAAGAAACTGAGAAATGAATTTTGTGGGAGGAAGGCATATTTTTAGGAGCCTTTCATTTGGAGCATCTGGTTAGAAAATATTTTGGGTATGATGTTCCAAAAATGAAAGTGAAGACATACTTTAGCACCATTGCTTTAAACCCCTCTTATTCCTCCAACTTATCAAGTCCTTCGAAATTAGAAAATGAAACCTAACATTTTTTATTGTCAATGTAAAAACGTCCTCTTTGGACTGTAGTTATAAGTTTAAATGTTTCTAGCACAGTTCCAAACATTGAAGAAGTCAGCATGTATGCTTTCTGTGCAGGGATCTGTATTGGCATGGCATAAAAGCTACATTTGAAACCACCTTTCAGTTCTGTAGGCACAGAGGGATGTGTTAAATTTGTACTGTAATTGTTAATAACTTGTAGTTTGGATATTTAACACGATGGTGCTTAAACCTTTTAAGAGGACAATAGTTGCTGAACTGGAAAGAACAGCCTCTTGATTTAAACAAACATTGGCACTGCTTGTGTACTTTCAGCTAGAAATAAGTAGATTGTAAGTCTATAGCTAGCTGTATATATTTGCATACAAATACTTATCATTTAAGTATTTTTGTGATGTACCAGAAAAACTATTAACCATTTATTTTCAAGGGCTGACAGACTTTCCTGTAGTATTCAAAAATTCCAATGCAAAAAACCCTTAAAATTTAAGCAGTAACACATATAAAGACAGACAGTGAATTCTTGAGCCTGTAGTTCAGGGATTTCTATGGAATCAGAGAGACTGCTTGTGTCACATGGCTGTTTTTGCTTGTTTATTTCTTTGATGTAATTTGAGGAGGACGCCCATTTATATCTGCGTGTAACAAAAAATCAGCGAACTGACTGCTTAATATTGGACTTTTCATTGAAACTCAGTTTCTTCTTTGACTTAAATAGCGGTGATGAGAAGACCAGAGAAGTTTGAGGGCCCTTTGATCTCTTGGGTTGCATGAGGAGCTGGGGTTGCAGGGCAGCCGCTCTCTTTACAGAGGCTGTGCCTTCTCCAGACCAGTGTGGGCTCCTGTGTGTGTAAAGACTGATGAGCTGCTCAGAAAGGGCAGTGCTAGGGCAAGTGCTGTCCTGGTTTTTGTGCACCCTCAGCACCTCTGGAAGTTTCTTTTTCTGTGAAGACTAAGTCTGTCAGTCAAGCTTCTGTATTTTGGTGGGTGGCAGCAGCAGATGAGACTGATTCTTTGGGGTGGTTTTGTGCATTATTATTATACCTCTAAATATGGATGATGCCTATTAGCATGTTTGAAACAGGATTCATGTTTCTGATGAGTTTATTTTTCTTCAAACCAAAAAAGGCTGAGCTAGGGGATGTGCATTGTGTTATATATTCAACCATGATTTTCCTACTGTTTCTTCAACTTTTACACAGGCAGTAAAAAGGAGATAGGGACAACTGGGCATGAGAAATTCAAGGCACATTTGCCTGCTGGATTTTTAGGTCTGCCATAATCCCTGGCCCTAACTTACTATCTATGCATGACATACTTTATGGACTTAATAGGACATGCAAAGCACTAGCTTAAAATTGCTTTGGTCTTTAGGGCTTCTAGTAATGAAAAATTTGAAAGCAACTTTGTGAAAGTCTGTCTGACAAAGTGCATCTGAGCAAATGCTGGGATAAACCCTGCCTGGTGATGTTGAGGGAGTCTGCTATGAGTCCTAATGGAGAAGATGGGTTGAGATGACATTCCCCTTCACCTCAAATTTGTGCAGAGAAACTTCTCTTGAACCTTTTTCACCACCAGGGAGCTGGAGGACAGCATTCTGCATGCATAGCATTGAAACAGACACTTTGATTTTATTCCCTAGACTCATTCCTTGACAAAATATGAAGTAAATTTATACATTGATGTTCACACCCACTTACATCAGCAGTGTCCAGTGAAACATTTATTGTTGGTAATATATGGTGATTGTAGAAAAGTTAAAGTTATTAAGGAAACAGAAATAGCTGCTTGTGAACATCATTAAAATTAGGAATTTTGTCAGCTGAAATGTTCAGTATGAATCAATATCACCAGCTCCATGTCCCTTGGTGTGTAGTCTCCTCTTCCCAGACAAAGCAGTCTTCAGGCTTGTTGGCACTAAAGGCCTTTGTTGCAAGATCTTCTGTCATTGTAGTTGAGGACCACACCTGGCCAGAGGGTACTCCTGGTCTTCTGTGATTATATCCAAACTGGGGCACAAACGTACAACTCTCCAGTGAGTTTGAACTATTCAAATTGTGCACCTGTTATCTTTTGGCTGTAGTCTTTGGTCACTCTTAACACTATTTATTGAAGTGCAGTATGGTTCTGGGATGCAAGGAACATGAAAGCAATCGAAAGTAATGTTAAAGAACCTTCCACTGAGTGTGATTCCTGTGTGATGTATTTGAACAGCAGGGTTTTGTGGAATGGGCTGGTTATTACTGGACATCTGTCAGAGCAGCTCCTGTTTTGCATTTAGTATTTTAATATCATATATGGAGGTGACAGATTAGTATTTCCGAAATTTGTGTGCAGACTAAACATCATTTCTGTTCTTCATTCTCTGTTCCTAGTCTGGGACTGTGAAGCTGACTAAGCCTGTGGCGTTATGGACCCAGCAGGATGTCTGCAAATGGCTGAAGAAACATTGCCCTAATCAGTATCAAATCTACAGTGAGTCATTCAAACAGCATGACATAACTGGTAAAGTATGCACTATCAGCAATATTTTACTGACTTAAAATGTGGTGAATTGTTTTACTTTGCTGTTAATAGATTGTGACTGTGCACTGAGGGGTTTTTGTTGAATGTGTGACTAGAGAGTTGCAAGGTTTAGAGCAGAGGGAGTATTCCAGCTTTCATAGGATATGGTAAGTGATATCCTCATTTCTTTAAAAGACAGTTTCAGATAATTCAGGGTCAATATAATAAGGAAAGAAATCAGTCTATATGTAAGTAAAGGCCTCACTCTGTTCATTCCAAATAAGAAAAACCAAAACCCAACCATAAAGAAAGATTCTATGAGGCAAACGTAATTTATGTAAATTTTCTCTTTCATTGAGGTGTTTGACCTTGAATACATATTCTTTTTTTGTGCTTCTGCCAACTCTTAAAAAAAAAAAAATCTTGGTGGTCTTAATATGTAGGGTAGGAAGTGATCCCAACTGAGCCCCTCCCTTAGCCTGAAGCAGGATCAGTACAGCAAGTTCGTTTCTGATGGATGTTTGTCTAGCTTTGTTCTGGAAATCTTGCAATGAAGCAGATTTTTGCATCTCTCTATTCCAGTATTTTATGGTTCTTAAAGTCAGTATTTTCCTAGGATCAATCTAAAATCAATCTGAACTATTATTTCCAGCCAAAACCCCTGATTTCTGTCCAAAATGTGCCTTGAGTACAGGCAGCCACTCTTTTGTACAGTCTTTCCTTTGCTGTATAGGGTGCTGCTTCTCAGCTGCACATACTTTCCTTGCCTAGTCTAAAAAATATGTCTTTATTCTATCATGATTACTCAACAAATATGCATAGGACCTCCAAACCATCAAAACCGGGTCTCTTTTCTTAAAAGAATGTATTGAATGCAAAATTGTATTGTGTTCTTATTTACTTTAGAAATTGATATTGATCCTGTTGATCTGCTTGACTTGTTAACTCCTACTCAGTTTGCTGTAGTTGTCTTTTGGCTGTTCACTTTGAATTGGCATGAGTTTAGCAAATACAACTTGGGAGTTAAATAGCATTTTTGCTCATATACCAAATGACAATTAATCTGTAATTAATTGTAAGTTTAATATGGAACACTGATTTGTTCTCTGCAGTGGTGGCATACAAAACTGGAAATTGGCATTCTGCCATTTAATGTTAAGCAGGAATTTGAGTTTCACATACAAATCTTAGTCTTAACAATGTGGTCTTAACTGAGGCGTGTTTCAGTCACTGTCTGATCCCATACACGTGTACTTGTTTCAAATTTTGCCTTCATTCCTGTTGCTATTTTCTTTCTGATAATGTGTGAATGATTGCAAATACGACAAACTGCCCATATTTGTTTACTATGTCGCCATGAGTACATGTACACAAATGTAAGAGGTGGCTTGTATTGGTTTGCTAAGTGTTAAGGTTTAGTACATAACCATTGTGCCCATTCCCTCTCAGTCACCATCTGTTGAATGCAGTCTGTGGGATTGTAGTCTGTGTCTCCACCCATGTGTACAGAGCTGACTGCATCCAGAGCACTACCAGAAGAAAATGAAGCTATTTTTAAATATTTTCTAGTATTGCTTTATGATGTTCTCTTTCTAGAATAAAGGCACTGTGAAATAAAGTTGAAAGGAAGACATTTTCATTTCAGCATAAACACTGATGAAAACTGTGGAATTTCATTGCAGATGTGCAAAACTTTGAACTTTATAGACCTCTATGAAAAAGAGGAATTGAGATCAATCTTTCATACTTTACACAAAAGAGGTATAAGGTAAAATATTGGTATGAGTGTTAGAAAATAAATCTGCAGGAAAGAACTTCAATTCAGCAACTACCAAAGAAGAAACACAATCAATATCTGTACAGATTTTATAAAAGTATATTGTGATAATATTGTGAGTGGAATCATTAACTCAGGAGGATATTTCCAGTGCTGTTGGTCCCCATGACTCTGATTATTTGAAATCTAATAAAGGGAAAGAACAGAGGATTTGTGGCTTAGAAAAAGTAGAGCATAGAAGGACCATAGAAACTAATGTGAAGATTAAGCCAAGGTAGTGTAACTGTTCCCAGATATGGCTATGGAAAATTGATGTGACTGATGAAAATCTCAGGAATTAATGTGACTTTACAGCCTGTTTTGATATGGAAAAATATGATGGAAAAGTTCTTGAAGAAAGTGACACAAAAATGATATTTAAACTTTATTTGAAGATAAAATCATAAGCCAGGAAAATAATCTTGAGCAAACATATCTAACAGTCATTAATATAGATATTGAGAAGTGTGGCTTGTACTTGAGACTCTTGCTGATTGAAGTTTATTGAGTTGTGGACAAAGATGAAACCAAAACTAACCTTTTCTTTGTGGGGATTTATACCTTTTTACTACTTCTGACAAAGGGCTGCAGATGTATAAGAAAAAATTCTTTATCTGGAAACTTAGCTAATAAGAAAAACAATCTTCATATTAACAGTGATGTTGAGGACGCCATGGGGTGGGCAGAGAGTACTCTCATCAGATTTGCAGATGGTGGGTACCAGTCTATAGATTCAAGCAGGGACAATCCATAGTGGTCCAGGCATGGGGACCAGACACTGGCAGGAATGCATCAACAGGACCCTTATGAAATTCAACAAGGACAATTGCAAAGTTGTGCTGCTGGGAAGGCTGAGGCTCTTGCACCCCGCTGAAACTGGAGCTGACTGGCTGGGAAGTGGCTCTAGTGAAGAGGACCTTGATAGTCAGGAAGACAAAATAAGCCAGTGTTGTCCCTTGCAGCAAAGAATGCTGTCACTATCAACAGGAACATAGTAACCTGATCAAGAGTAGTCAGTATTCCCTTTACTCTGTACTTCTTAGACTACAGTTCTTAGATCTCCAGTGCAAGTCAGGGTGAGGGCTGGAAAGATGCCCAGGGCTGGAGCTCTTGCTGTGTGCCCAGTGGATTGAAGGGCTGGTTCAGTCTGGGGGAGAGGCAGCTTGCCAGCATGGGATGGGGGCACTAGCAGCAGCTCCCACTATACAGGAGGATTTGTCCAAAAGATGGAATCCGACCCTTTGCAGTGATGGATGAGAGACATGAGGCTGAAAATAAGGAGAAGCTTTCTTCCCCCTTTAGGACTTTTAAGCTTTGGAATGGGTGGCTCAGTTTCTGTTCTGGGAAGGTTTCAATCCCCAGCTAGGTAAAACCTTGAGAAACCTGGTTTGATCTCATAGCTGACCTTGTTTTAAGCTGGAGGTTGGACTAGAAATCTGCTGGGGTCCCTTCCAATCTGAATTCTTCTATGGTCCTATGATTTGCTTTCTGAGTACTAATTGAGCACCTCAGAACCAGTCAGGGAAATGCATTTTGCAGCCAGTTAGGGTGAATTAAATATGAAATAGTCTAATAAGAAATGGTGAGACTTTTTAATACATTAAGCCCTTGGATTCAGGGAGTGGAGCATGTGCTTGACTTACTCAGCAACAGGTGAGAAGTATTTTAAGGTGCTGAACCCAAAGACAGAGCAGAAAGAATTTGAAGCAGTAATACTGAGCAAGTCCTAAGGACATCTGGCAGGAATCAGCAGTGGTGGGATAAATAAGAAAAGGGAAGAAAAAAAAATGATGGTGGCCTATACAACAAAGAAGGCAATGCCATGGTAGGGGCATGTCACTAGAGGCTCTGCAATGGGTGTTGGCATTTACACCAGTATGAGGAGACACAAAAAGTTGCATTGACCTGCCAGTTTTTATACTGGTATATTCCTAGAGATAGAACTGAGAAATGGACCTTGCTCTGTGTGCATTTGTGACTTTGAATTTGCTGGGCAGCAGGACTTTTAGCTGACTGGTGAATTCTAGAGAGATGAGTTCTTTGATGGTCTTGTTGTGTACCACTGAAGCAAATGAGGATTTTTCCAATGTCTCAGCCTTAACAGGAACAAGATTGGGCATAGAATGACTAAGGAAAAACTATTTGGGGATAAATGGTCCATTGACAAAGTAAGAAAGCAGATGTCTAAGTAATGGTTTATGGATGTGTGATTTAGGGAGGGAGGGAGGGAAGGCACGGAAGGCAGGAAGGCAGGCAGGAAGGAAGGAAGGAAGGAAGGAAGGAAGGAAGGAAACCCTGCTTCATGTTTTGTTTTTACACCATGTTCCCCAATGTGCTACTGCATGTCTTCAGAGTAAGAGGTTTTAATGCTATGATCATTAAACAAACCTCATTCTGTCAAAGTAATACCCAAGAGGTACCTTGGTCCAATTGAAGAAATTTGATAGGAGGTACTTGAAAGGACTCAAACCTTTTAAAATTAAAATTTTAGGAAGGAAAGGAACAGGACTCAAGAAAATCTCATTTTAGTTTTAGAAGGGACAGAACTTCTGAATATTCATTAAATACCAAATGGCACCTTGGAATATGAAATATGAATTGAAACTGAAAACCTGCTGCAAATAGTCTTAAAATATGCTAATTCTAGATCTTCTAAAGATGCTTGCATTAAATGAGCTTTATTGACATAAATAAGCCCTATGACATGAAATTGATATAAAAACCATGCTTTCAAAATCAGCATTGATTAATTTTTTTCACTTCAGTAATATATTTATAGATGTTAGGGTTTATCATATCAGATGAAATGTTTAATGAAGAGATAGTCTCATGGTTTAAGATACTACACTGGAATTTGGCGATATCTTGTCTCTATTTCAGTTTACTCTGGAAATACACTGGAAGTTTACTTAGGAAGCATACTGAATCCTCAGGGTCTGAATTATTCTCTCTCTATACAGAGAAAGAGTTTTTGTAAATCAAAGTGTTCCCAGATATCTTTCCAATTTTTAGAACATATATAATTTACTTCTGCCCTTTGTTTCATGGGCCTCAGGTGAGTTTTGTGGTGCAGCCAGTGCAGTGACTTGGGGATGAAAGGTCTACAGTGGACTGCAGGGGCCCGTGTTTCATTCCTGGCTCCAGGGCAGGAAGGGTGACCAAAAGTCGGTGGGTTTACTCTCTG